TTGTCTACTATTTAAAAATCAGACTTCAAAGTCAATTCAAAGTTTAAACACATATAAATACATATGGGCCTTGACCAATCCTGTAAATAAAGGGCAGGAAAATTTTTTTTGTCTGCAAATGGTAAGGCTGAAATGACTGAGAATATTTTTTTAAAAAATAAAAATCCTATGAATTCTGACTCTCTGGCCATTTCCCCCATATATAAGGGCGTGGCATTGTTCCGCGAATAGCCAGAGGGATATTAGCCCTTTCCTGTACATAAAGGAAGCAGTCCTTTTGCTTGGGCTACAATTGCTAACTTGATTGAATACTTGAATTACTGAGTTTCTCCTTTTGTTTTAAAATCTAACCCTATTTTTAAAATCTACTCCTTACCCTTCCCTTATTCAAATTCTAATTTAGCCAAAAGATGCAACATTTTCAATAGTATAAAAGGTTTGCTGAGACATGAACTCTGCACATGCACAGAGGCTAGATCAGCTAAAAGGGGAAAAAAAGGAAAAGAAAAGAGAGAGAGAGAGAGGAGAGGAGGTTTGGAGAGCAATTTCCTTATGTAAAATTTGGAACCATTGAGGGAAATCACCCTTAATGTGTCCCAAGTTTCAAATCTTAGCATGACAAATTCTTTTCACAGGTAAATATCAAAGCATTTCCCCCTCAATGGGATTTAAATCACAGACTTTGTTTGTGTGCATTTTAGGAACAACATTTCCTGACAGGCTTCTCACATGAAGTAATTTTCCCTTTTAACAGGATATGTGAACCCCGATAACAAAGTGTTTGTCCGTTTTTCCTCCCACAGCAACTTTCTTTCTGTTCTGTGAAACAAGTCTGAATCCCTGCTATATTAGTGACTTCCATCTCTTTGTGGCTTTGACACTTTTAAAGTTACAAATAATCTGTTTTCATTTATTTAATCCGTTTTTCCATGATGTCTATGAAGTTAATCGAAGCACAACCAAACATTGTTTGTGGAATGGTATTTGTTTACCTTTTGCCTGAGCATCTCTTATTAATTCTGTCATTTTGGCTAGTTCAAGGTACTTGAACAACTTTAAATTGCAATTCATTTTTCTTGATATTAAGTCATTTCCCAGTATTTTGCTATTAACATTCTAGCCGATGTTGTCACATCAATAAACACTCTTTTATTTTCATTGTTACTTCAGATTTCTTAAAATTGTGTGTCTTAGCATTTATTTATTTTGGTTCCTCATAGGTCATTGTGTGTGTGTGTGTGTGTGTGTTTTATTGTTATTTTAACCTTGTATTTTTTTTACAGTTCTCTTTCTCTACATATGGAGTAATTTTTTATTTAATAATATGGGAGGGAGAAGAAAAAACCAAAGTGAAGGAAAGTAAACGAACTTAACAGATAATAACAGTAATTATATGGAAATGTGATAATAATATTGAAATGAATAAAATGCTTATTCCGCTAAGATTTTGTTATTTGCAGCTTCCCCAAAACCCTGCCCCTTACAGGATATCACTTCTATAGATGTGCGATGATGAAAAAGCAGCAACAACCCCTCAACTCAGTTCTTCACCACCACAAGACCTGCAACAACAGACTGACGGGGGAGTGGGGCTGACAAAGGGGGGAGGAGTTGAATTGCAAAGACATTTTTTCACTTTTGAGATACATACGTAAAAGATCACAATTGTCTCAAGATATGTAACTGATATTTAATTAGTTTGTTGTGTATTATGTGTTATTACATAGGAATGTTGAAATGTGTCTGACAGTGTGTTATTTCCACAAAGGAGGGGGGGCTATTTTATTTTTGTGTGTAATTGTTTTTATGTTTAATGTCTTATTCCTTACACCCCAGTGGAGGATTCTCATACATTTTATGCGTTCTAATAGACCAGGCTATTGTGTAGTCCAATGTTTAGATTGTCCCACCTGGCACTATGCCAACCTTCCCTACCCATTTTAAAAAATGTGCTAAAACTCGCTTTACCACGGAGAAGCTTCCAAGATACATGAAGGTGGATATGCTTTGGTTTAGCAGGAATGATCCCTTATAGAGTTAAATTGACTTATTTCGACAAGTGCCCTTTTAAGAATGGTTTTCTTTTAACAGTTTGTTTTGATAAGTTGAGAACCATGGGCATATATAAATTATAATTGGACTCAGTTTGAATTGGGCAAGTGTATCCAGGCTGCAATTAGCTTTTGGTCCTTTAAGTGCAAGTGAGCAACTTCCCATGAGTGCAAGACCACAGCCTAGAATAAGATCCCATAGAAAGGCCAAGGCAAAGACATCTCTCATGAGATGTCCAAACCTGTGCCAGCTATGGTGAATGCCAGGCGACATGGTTAAATGAAAGCCCTGAGGGGATTCAACAGGATGTGTTGCTGCAGCACTATGCCGGTGTGAGACCACAGAAGAGCTAGCTTGACACCTGAGAAACACACAAAAATGGCAAAGGACAAAACACCAACTGCATTTTTCAGTCAGTAGTGGACCTTCCTGCTAAATATAAAGCATAGCCACTATTGAGAAAATGTTTCTCCCAAGAGCTAGAATGCCACAAGTAATTTAGTAACAAAATACAACAGGTGTTTTTTTTAATGTAATATCCTATATCCAGCTATCTGCACTGTTATACTTGCAAATGACCTTAAGAGGCATGGCTTGCAAGTCTCCTTCAGGTTTGCATAAACCCACACATCTGGTACGGTAGATACCAAGTTATTATTTAGCGCACATCTATATAACACGCCCGTACATTGTATTGGTCCATGTTGCTCCCTCCTTTGCTGCCTTGATCAACCCACCTCCTTTTCCATTAGATCCTATTCCCATTCACAGGGCACCCATACCTTCACCGAGATTTAGGGTGCGGAGAAAAGATTTGCAAGTTCTTACAGAACTTTAATGCAAATCTATCTCCGAATGGGGGACTGTTACGGAAGGGGGGGGCATGTCTTCTTCACCTTCTTCGCTACAATATACTGTCAAATCACTCTGCCAAACCTTTCCTCCGGGCAATGCCAGGTGACAGACTATGCATACATGGACCATTGTCTTCCCATCACCGGCACTCAGGAAGCGCTTATCTGCGCATATCTCCAGCTCTGCATATTCCCCCCTCCCTCCTCCATATGTTAATCCGGTGTAACCCAACCTCTCCTTAATGTATTCATGATGTAATCTGTGTAACCCAACCTTTCCTTAATGTATTCATGACGTAACTGGGATGTATTTTGCACTGTATTCTGGGACATGGAGGGAGTTTCAAAAGTCCATGTCACCCCTTTCTCGCTGTTCAATCTCGTCTTGAACCTGTTGCGCAATAAACCTGGATCTTCTGCAGTTTGCTCCTGTCTGGCTGAGCTCATTTTCTTCCGCAGGGACCCGCGGACTTACTTAGTCCGACGAGCTGGGTGGCAGTGTAGCTCCACACCCAGATTTAGCCGTAACAGTTATTATGGTACTTACAACCTATTTATATATGATGCAAGTACCATATGTACATATGTACAGTGGTACCTCAGGTTAAGTACTTAATTCGTTTCGGAGGTCCGTTCTTAACCTGGAACTGTTCTTAACCTGAAGCACCACTTTAGCTAATGGGGCCTCCTGCTGCTGCGCTGCCAGAGCACAATTTCTGTTCTTATCCTGAAGCAAAGTTCTTAACCCGAGGTACTATTTCTGGGTTAGCGGAGTCTGTAACCTGAAGCATATGTAACCTGAAGCGTATGTAACCCGAGGTACCACTGTATATGGGTGTGAGTGTGTTTTAAATATGTTGTAAGTCATCTGGAGACCTTTGGGTAACAAAGGATTAAGAATAATAGTACCTTCTACTCTTCTGGCTTGCCCCCTGCTTTAGTAAGTGGCCCTTTTACATAAGCATGACCCCAGCCTGACTCTGATACAGAAAGAGATGGAGAAAAGCAGAGATGTTTGTTTGTATAAAAGTATTTAATTAAACCTACATTATTATTATTATTATTATTATTATTATTATTTATCACATTCAGATAGAAGTTCATGGTCAGCCTGGCTCCCTTGCCCCTAAACCTCACCTCCACCCATAGCATGCGCAAAGACTTGAGACTGTTGTAACCGGGAACTTATTTACTAGTTTTGGCTTATAAATCGCCACTCACCTACGACCTGTGGCAAGTAAGAACTGGCAACCTTGCAGGGACACACAGTATTGAGTTGCTCAGAACTCAATACTGCATGAATGGAGACTGCCCTCCCCGGGACTCTGATGTCATTCAAATAACATCAAGCTAATGGTTTCCTTTGGAATATGTAATCTGGTATAATTTCTTCAGTGCACAGTCTATAGAAAATAACAGGACCATTTAAATTTGGTTTGTGATGTGTAACTGAGTGTTTGCCTTGATTAATTTTTTCTTGGGTGAAGTCTAGAGTGATTTTGGGTGACTTATTGCATGCGTGGCTTTGCAAGAGCTTTTGTCCCTTGATACAATTGCTGTGTAGTTTGAGGCTGGATGGCTGGATGAAAATACAGTCCCAGGGCCTGTCAGAATCTAATACTAAGCCATTTCCCTTGTGTTTGGCTATAAAAAGCGAGAGAAAGAGAGAGATTATTCACTATGCCCTCTGGCCTGACCTCCAAAGTGAGAACCCACAGGACTTTATGAACATGTGTGGTTAGTCACAGAGTGGACTCATGATGCCACCAGAAACCTTTTTATAATTCACTATCACTGAACTATTTACAGCTTACAATCTTGGCAGAGGATTCGTAACAGCAAGCTTGCTACTAGGAAGTAAAAAACCCCACATCAAATATAAAACAAAATACTTTCTCCATCTGTTCCCTGTTCGCCTCTCATTTAATTTGCTTGTTGTTGACAGTGCAAAGATCCTGAGTGTATTAGGACAATTTCACAAGTGCTTACTGAGAAGGCAGACATATTTTGACAGGTCAAAATAAGAACATCCCCATTCAGCTTATGGGTTAAAATTCTAAAGGTTTCATTCCCTAGCAGAAAAATAAAGAACAGTAAGGATTCTGCTATTTATTTATTTATGTACTGTATTTAAAACATTTATACCCCACCTTTCCTCAATGAGCCCATGGCAGCTAACAAGGTACGTTGAAATAATAAGCACAATTTTTAAAAAGAATTTTCCAACAATAAATACAATAGTTGGCCACAGTAGATACCTAAATATCCAAGTTCAGCAAAATTCCCATGCTACAAATCTGCATTTGCAAGGGGAGTGTTATTCCCACCCAATACTGGTTGAACCTCTGTTCCAAGGTTAGCTCTACTAACATTTGTCTTGTCTGAATTAATATTGTTTGTTTACCCACATCCAGTCCATTACTGTCTTCAGGACTTCTATAGCCTCACTGCAATGAGATGGAAAAGAGAAAAGTGGGTATAATTCAATATCTCTATTAAATTGTGACTATAAGTTATTTGCTGACATATTGGCAGAAAGACTCAAACATATATTGAAAGATATCATTCATGAAAATCAGGCCAGCTACTTACCAGGAAAACAAATACAGAATAACATCAGGAACATTATTAACATATTAGAATATCTTGAATTTAGAATTGTTAAATAGCAGCTCTGGTGTTCGTGGACGCAGAAAAAGCTTTTGATAATGCATCCTGGTATTTCCTAAAGAAACAGATTAATTTAATGGGTATGGGAGAAAAAATTGAAAAATGTATTGAAGCAATATATCATAAAAAGGGCTAGACTGATAATAAATGGTATGATCTCAGGAAATATTGAAATTTCAAAAGGAACAAGATAGGGATGCCCTCTGTCCCCATTATTATTTATTTTGGCATTGGAAATTTTAATGAATAAGATCAGAAAAGAGGAAATAATAAAAGGGATTGTAGTGGGGGGAATTATAAAGTAAGAGCTTTTGCAGTTCATGTCTCCGCTCCTCCACATGCAGCTGCTGGGTGACCTTGGGCCAGTCACACTTCTCTGAAGTCTCTCAGCCCCACTTACTTCACAGAGTGTTTGTTGTAGGGGAGGAAGGGAAAGGAGAATGTCAGCCGCTTTGAGACTCCTTCGGGTAGTGATAAAGCGGGATATCAAATCCAAACTTTCCTTCTTCTTCTTGCAGGTGATTTACTAATAACAACAGAAAACCCTACGGATTGTATCCCAAAAGCAATAGAATCTATTAACGATTTTGGACAATTAGCTGGCTTTAAAATCAATTATAAGGAAACAAACTTGTTAGTCAAGAACATGGGAATAGATGAACAAAAAGAATTACAGGAAACTACAGGATTGGAAATAAAGAAAAAAGTGAAATACCTAGGCATCTGATTAACATCAAAACGCATTAATCTGTTTCAGGACAATTATGTCAAAATGTGGAATGACGTGAAAAGAAATTTAGAAATCTGGAGCAAGCTTCATCTCTCCTTCTGGGGCAAAATATTGGTAATAAAAATGAACATCCTACCTAGAATGATTTTTCTATTCCAAATGATACCTATTCTAGGAGGTATGGGTTGTTTTAAAAATTGGAGGAAAGACATAGCAAAATTCATATGGAAAGGGAAAAAACCCGGAATAAAGCATAAAATTATTATAGACAGAAATGGGGGGGGGGCTTGGCTTTGCCTGATTTGGAGTTGTATCATGCAGTGGCAGCTCTAACTTGGATCAGAGAATGGATGATCTTAAAAGATAAAGATCTGCTGGATCTAGAAGGTGCAGGTACGTGTTTTGGTTGGCATGCCTATCTGGTATATGATGAGGTAAAGGTGCACAGGGGATTCTTAGACCATATAATTCCAAAATCATTGTACAAAATATGGCTTAAATATAGACTTGTTAGAACCAAAAACTCCCTGGTGGACCTCACTGGTAGAAGCCATGACTGTGAAGAAAAAAGAAAAATGTTTGGGCAATATACAAAAGAGGAAGATGATAAATTAAAATTGGAAAAAATTGAAGACATCTGAATGCACTTAAATGATTGGCTCCAATATTTTCAAATTACTGAACGATTGGGTAAGGATAGACAAAAAGAAATATCAAAATTGGAAGAGAAGTTAATACTAGCAAAAGGAAAAATTATATCCAGCATGTACGACCTCCTTCTTGATTGGGAAGCAAAAGAACCCGTGCATGTGGGCGCCTGGAGAGATAAACTGCATTTAAGATATCCTCTCCTACCTATTAAGACCCATCCCACAGCATTGCCTCTTTTCAACAGGGTTGCACTCTCTTGGAAGGAGCAGGTCTGCAGCTTCTGGGTACTCCCAAATACATCTCTGTCACTAGATGCCTAAGTGTCCTCTGTGGCAGAGTCTGTCAGGGTCACCTGCTACAGCTGTTCCTGGACAGGAATATAGTCCATGCACTGAGACTGGATTACTGCAATGCATTCTCCTTGAACCTAGTCTAGAAGCTCTAGTTGACGCAGAATGTGGCGGCTAGACTGCTGATGGGAGCACATAGCTAAACTGTTGCTAAAACATCTGCACTGGCTGTCTATTGTCTATGCAGCCAGCTGCAAAGACCTTGTTCTTAATTTACAAAGCCCTTCGGAACCACCTGAACCCTTATGTCCCAGCTCAATCCCTGAGATCATCTTCAGAAAAGTTAACTGGTCCCCAAGTTGGCGACAAGAAACTGAGCCTTAGTGCCCTCATCCCAGTCCTGTGGGAACGCCCATCGCTCAGCCAGCAGAGATTGGGCAGGTGCCTCCTGTTTATACCTGTGAATGTCTGCTGAAAACCTGTCTGTGCCACCAAGCTTATGCAAGCAGTTCAAAAATCATCTTTCTGTAATAACTGATGTTCTCTGATTGTAAAGTTTAGTGTAGTGTTTTAGTACATATTGATATTGTTGTAAAGCATTATGATTTTTAATATAGTGGTATATAAATATTTTTAAATAAATAAGTAAAAGCCATCATTTGCCTCTTGCCTTTTAAAGGGTCCCCTTTGGGCAGAACACTTCCAAGTGACCAGGATATTATCCTCATTTGCCTGCGTCCTATTGTCCTTTAGTCTGCGTTTGTGTTGCTTTCCTTTTTTAAAAAAATCACATCGTTTTGTTTGCATTTCTCCCTTCTCTTGTCAGATCCTGCTCTAGCTTTTTCTTCTTTTTTATATAGACAAAGCAGCATTTCTCTCTAAAAGCTATTATAAACCGTATCACCTCCAAAACGTGGATGAAAAACATCTCAGACTTTCATGTTGTAAAGTTCTAATTCGATAAAACAAAAGCAAAGCCCACCGCCACTTGGCTCCAGCTTGGAGCTGGAATAAGAAATAGCGGGCAAGGACAAGTTTACCTGAGCCAGGTATCATCACCACCTATCAGGTACCTATTGCTGAAGAGGCCAAGGCCACAGTCTGAGGCTCCCCCTATTTTGAGAGGTAGTAGTAGCCAACGGCCCCAGGACTGTGAAAGCTGTACCATTGTCAACCAAAAGGGAGGGGGGTAATATCTTAGAGCGTCTTGTGCTCCCCCCCCCCCCGTTCACTGACAAGATTTTAGGGAGGATTTGGTATTTAAACATGATTTGTGCGCGTTATAAATGATTTGTTCGCGGAGTCCTTTTTCCAACCATCTCCCCAGCATGGGCTCTGTGGTTCGCGCCCAACGGCTCGTGGCTGGAAGGCAGAGCAAACCATTTGAATCGCTGGAGGGGGGGCAGAAATGAAGGCTTTCTTCTCGCCCAGCATCGAAATCAAGCGCGCTTTTATTTGCTTTAACTGGATTTATTGTATCCCAAACACTCTTAGTGCTGCTACTAAAATGGTCCCGGCCCACCATTCTGCAGTGCTAAAGCGGCTTGGGCGAGCTTATTATTTAGGGAAGGAGGAGGGAGCCGAGATTCAGCTGGATGAGCTGCCGGCCCAGAAAAGCCCCAGGCTCATATCCAAGGACTCCAGAGAGGCGCGTTGACGGGGATTTTCTTTCTCCGTTGACTAACAGGCTGCTGGAAAGAGATAAACCAAATCGCTGATCTATCCGTCTCCCCCCTCGAAAAGTAAAAATAATATCGCCTCGTCAGGGGCGGGGGGGGGGGCGAGCAGCTGAGCGAAAAGGCGGCGCGGAATGTACCTTTGCAAGCGGCGAGGCGCCTGGAATACTACAACTTTAAATTCGCCCCTGAGCGCCTCTTCGGGTCTGAAGAGATTCCAGTTAACTCCAGTCTCGGGTGCCTAGGAATAATCAGAACTCGGTGAACTGTGGGGGAGACAGAGAGAGTTCTTGTCGGGGGAGAGTTCCCCCCGCACACATGTCAGAAATGGTCAGGCTGGGATTCTACCACATCAAATACAGAGGGGGGACGCTCTTGACGGCTCTCTCCCAGACAAATAAATCTCCCTTTTCCCCGGGGGCGGGTGTATTCTTTCTCCCACCTTCTTTGGTCGTGAATTATGGGGAGGCGCTGGCGAGGACGCAGCTGCTCGCCGCCCTCGGCCGGGAAATGGTACGCCCCGAGGGGCGGCGCGAGCGAAGCCCTGCCCGGGGTTGGCGCGGGCCAGTCGCAGGGCGGGAGGCGGCCGGGCCGGGGGTGGTTCTGCGCAGCTGGGAGGGCGGAGCCGCGCGATCCCGGGCTCGGGGCGGGGGGCGGCCATGGGCGGCTGAGGGGTGCCCAGTCCAGAAGCGGCCCGGGCCGGCGGCCATGGCCGAGGACTACTGGGACTCGCCACCGCAGTAGCCGCCGCCAAGGTAAGAAACGCGGGTCGGACGGGGGGGGGCACCAGCGTGACCTCTGACCCCTTGTTAGGAATCTGTCTCCCGAGGGACCAGCTCTGCTGCCTTGGGATAGGATCGCTCGCTTTCAAGCCATTCGGCCCTTTCTGGTCACGCAGGAGATCTGCTCTGACCTCTCGTGTAATTTCCCTCTGGCATTAGTTCCGCCCCGCACCCCCAATAGATCTGTTCGGCTTCTTTAATCCCTGATGCCGATCTCTGCCATCAGAGGCTTCACATTGATCTCCTTGAATTCTCTCCTTACACCCCCCAGCGAGTACTGCGCCCAGTATTTCTTAGCCCCTCCTCAGTAGGGTTGGAGCAGATCCTTTCCCCGTCGGACTTCAGGGAGATGCATGAATTAGGGGCGCCTTCTTAATCTTCCCCCAGAGATCCATACTCTTCAGCTGGGAGGTTCGCCCCTTCTGCCACTGGGCTAAACTCCTTGCTGCTTAAATCAGGGAGTGGAGGTGGATTGTTCTGAAGTTCTGAGCATCTGCACCTTCCTTCCCCGTTGGTGTTGCAGTCTTTTCCTCTACTGAGTCCTACCACTCCCCGTTGACTGCCGTGCCCTGGAGGCTCCCCACCCCGGTCTGGTCTTCCTTCTGGCCCAAGGCTTTTGCCTGGCTCTGACCTCGCAAGGACCTTTGGGGGGACTCTGAGGAGCCGCTTCTCGTTTGCCTCATGGCTCATGATTCAGGGACGAGTGGTTTCTTTCTGTTTGGACTTGCTGGGTGATCTTTGCTTTCACGTTGACTCTTGTCACTAGATTCCCTTGGCTTCCAATTGCTTCCCTCACTCTGACTGTGGACCTGGAAATGTAAGGAGGCGTATCTCTTGTAGGATTTGTTGCTTCTCTGCTACTTGGCTTGAGCCATTTCTTTGTGCAAGTGACCAAGTTTTCCTCTTCTCCTTCCCACACCCCCTCACGTCCAAATTGGAGGGCAGGTGGTGTTCCCCTCCTGGCCTTTAAGAGGTGGATGGGGGATGCTCCCGGATTCAGGGCACCACGGCTAGGAAATGGGGTGCAGAAGAGAGACTGCAGGAGGAGAAACCACAGGGAGTCTCCGTAGGGGATTCTTAGCTCTCTGTTCAGGAATTCCAGCTGCTCCTGGTGGGAGGAAGTTCCTTTGCTCACCTTCTACTTAAAGACCGACCTCTTCGTGAGCCTGATGATGTCATGGGGGGCGCTTCCATCTCCTCCCCACTTCACGCTACGCTGCGTCTGTGTGTGACTAATGATGCACTGGTAGGCAAATGGGTCCTGTGATGATGCTGTGAGGTTGGCAGGGATCAGGCTTATCTGATCAGGCTTTTGGGGCAGCTGCTGGCAGTATTAGCCCTGGAGATGTTTGGTGCAGAGGCCCCTGAGAGGGGGGCTGGTTTTCTCGTTCCCCCCCCTTTCCGTTTGCCTCCATGCTTGTAACCAGGAGTTCCCCAGAAGGCTGCCATTCCCTTCCTGACCCTCTGCTGTGCTCGGCTGGAGCTGACAGCTTAGCAGCTACTGTGCTTGGTGGCTTGTCCGGATTTGCTTGCCAACCTTTTGCTGCTCTCTTGTGAGGAAGGTGTGTGTCAGGCATACTTATTGGGAACACCCACCTTCCCCCAAACACATGGGTGCTTGCATCCATGCTAAGGTGCTCTTTCTACTGCTCCTTTTTTATTTCCCTGCCAACTTGGGCCTGGTGACCAGCTTTTGGCACTCCGTGGAGTTGGCACCGGTGCCAGGTCTCGCGCAGGGTTCTGCAGTGAGAGCTGCAATGACAACATCTTAGCTGCTGAGCTGGTTTGGAGAAGGAAGAAAAGCAGAGTGGCTGCAACTGCTGAAAGGATGCTAGTTTTTTCTCCCTCCCTCTGAGTTTTTACATTTTTTGGATGTCTTCTTAGATCCTAACCCACTGGAAAAAAGATTCTCCATTCTTTAGATGGCTCTTATCTGGTCTTTCAGGTATAGTTGCTGTTTAGCTTGGTTTGCCTCACTGCTGAACCCACTGAAAATAGAATCAGAATGGGTCTAAAAAGCCATTTAGTCCCTCTCCTTGCCCCCCAGTCAGGACAAACCTACTTCCAACCCCAACTGAACCCATACAAGCCAGATCACAATACAGCACAGGCAGAGATCAGGTGAACTGCCCAAAATGTGCCCCCAAAAGCAGAGAGGCAAGGCAACTTGTATATTTCAGAGGAAGAGACAAACAAGAAAGCCACAGAGAAAAGAAATTGTTACTTCTGTAGCTCTGTACACCAGAGTATTTTATTATTCTCTTCTGATTTGTTCATAAGATGAGTCTTCTCCAATGTGAATATTTGTTGCCCTCCAGATATTTTGGATTTCAACTTCCATCTGCCTTTGCCAGCAAGGACAATGGTCTGGGCTCTGCTGAATGCAAGGCAACTTGGTGAACTTCACAGTTGAGTGTGGGTTTTGTCCTGGCTCTTGCATTCCCATATCCAATATTTAATATCCTGGCTCATCATGTTATGCTATTTCTATAGCTCTAAAATTATTATTATTAATACTGCCCTACACCCGGGGGGTCTCAGTGTGTGATGATGTTTCTCATTCACCTCTGCAGTGATCTTTTGAGAATTTCCCCACTGTGTGGATGGTGAATAAATAAGTCTCTTTCCCAAGGCTACCTAGTGAGTGGATTTTGAACTTTTAAACTTGTATTGCCTATCAGATTGTACTCTGTGTTAACAAACCTGGAGTAATCTTTCCACCCCCTGGCCTGGTAGCACGCCCTCAGTTGCTAACCTAGATTAGAACCCCTGCCGTTCATAAGAATTAGAACCTCCTTGCTATTCTTTAACTGCATTGTGAGTGTCATGTGGTGGTCACGGTCACTAAACTGCAGTCCTATACACATTTACTTGGGAGCATGTCCTACTGAAGTTAATGTTGCTTACATCTGAGTAGATGTGTATAGGATTGCACTGTAAGGCTGCAGTCCTTGTGTGCACATACTTGACAGTAAGCAGTATTAAACTAATTGGGACTTAGATCTGAGTAAACTTGGTTAGGATTGTGCTGTAGTCTGTACAGTTGTGAAGCACATTCTGGGCTGTTTTGGCTCTTGGTCTTCCTGGCTTCCCTTTCTGTGTCCAGGAAGGGGCCCTGGGTATCCCACAAGCTCACACAAACACCAAGCTTAGGATCCTGGTAGTTTCAGCTTTCATTAGTCTGCCCCCATTTTGGGTCCCACTGTCTGGAAAAAAAAGGCTTGAACAATGTAATAATAAATAAAATCTCCAAATAGGGAAGATGGGCCTGGGAAGGAGGAGTTTCAGTGCCCTTATGTAGCTTATTGACCCACCCCCTGGCTAGGGGAATAAATTATGTTAAATTAGCAACTATAGGCAAAGTGGCTTAATTTCCATACCATATGCTGGTTTTTCTTGGCACAGAATTGTGATGAATAATCTTACCTTTCTTTTGAGCCCAAACAGTCCTGATTTTAAGAAAATCTTTGTTGCATATACTGACTTTTGTTTCCCCATGACTGCTCTTGCCTCTTCAAAGCCACATGTTCCTTTTGCCATTCAGTGTTTATTTTGGAGTAACAGTGGATTTGGGGCCCTACACGGCACAAAATGAATATGGCCCCAGCTTGGAAGCCATCGGATGCATTATTGAGAGCAGGGGCTCCCTATATTCTCTGGACATAGGTAGTCAGATGCTGCAGTATGCTTGACATCACTTCCCAGGCACAGGGGTGACATTATTAGTTTATTTTTATTTATTTGGTTTCTGACCCACCCTTCACTATTTGATCCCAGGGTGGGTTGCAGTAATTTAAAAATAATATTCAAAAGAGTTTAAAACAAATAATAATCATAGGAGGGTGAGTCCTGAAAATCTATATCACACATGTCCAAGGACAGGGTAAAGAGGCGCTTCTTCAGCATAGGATGCAAACTATACAGTGAAGGCACCCAGTGGACCTCTGTGGGGAGGGAATGCCACACCTTAGGGGCTGCCACAGAGAAAGGGTGGTAGAACTGCCAGCTCTGCTGAGCTTGACACCCAGGAAGGTTTGTCAGGAAGGAGGGAGCCTTTCAGGTATGTCCTTGATTTTTGACTGGGGATGGAGGAAGAGAAACTGTGGAATGAATAAGCATCTTGCATGATCCCTTCAAGAAACTTATCCTGTCCTCTGTTGCCATCCCAGAATGAGCATGAGCTGGCAATGTAATAGTGAAATAAATATAATACAGGTGGGGACTCTTTCTTGCTTTTTGTTAGAAGTGGAGCTGTTAACAGACTTAAAAAGCAAGACCAAGGATTAAAATTGGGTCTCTGGAGACCAGATCTGGCTTGTGTGCATGAGTAGTTTGCGTTCTCTGATCTGTCCTTTGACCAGAAAGCAGATAGGAGGAGAAGACTCAATAAATTTTATCTTGGTGCAGCTTCCACCTTACTTTGTTCATGTGCTCGGGGTGCATTAAAACTGTTAAATCACACATGCTTGATACGAGCAATGCCCTGTTGTTTTTAAAGATGCCATTGCTTTATGCCGACTAGTAAACATCTGCTGAGAGAAGAGCTCTGCACTTCTTGCAGAAAGTAGACAGGCTTGGGCTTCAGTCGCATCGAAAGGCAGGTATCCAGTTGAAGAGCCGTCACCAAGATCACTTGTCTGTATGCCACTGCTGGTCACACAGTACAGAGTTCACCCCAAAAGGCTCTCTTTCCTGACTCGCTTTCTCTGCTGCTGTGGCTCTTGGGAAAATGAAGGGGGGAAACCGAGGCAGCTGGTGAGCGGACCTCCAGTCCAAGGGCAGGGATATCCAGATCCACTGGTTCTTCAGGGTTACTGGTAAGGTGCAGATCTGCTGGTAGTTCCTGTTCCTCTTGCTCTCCTCTGAGGGGATCTCAGGTTGGAAGTCTGAGCAGGGTTGAATGCCTCTTAACAGCTTAACAACAACAGCAGCAGCAGCAGCAACAACAACAACAACAACAACAACAACAACAA